AGCAGGTGCCGCTCCCTGTGAATGAAGCGAATGTGAAGAAGCAGGAACGCGATCGATGCGTTTGTGATCATCGGAAGTGAGTGGATGATGGAAAAAAGAGGAAGAAGGAAGAAGATGGGATTTGGGAAGAGAGAAGTGCGATTGAGAGAGGAGTGTCCTGGAAATGGTTCGTCGGATGAAGGGAGAAAATGCCATTTTGGGCGTCCGGAGAGAAACAGAGAAGCGGGGAGAGAGAGTGATCTGATGGGATTGGATTGGAGAACCATGGCTGCTGCGTTGGTTTTGTATATTATAAAATTGGCGTTGACAAGGGGAGGTTTCCTATATCTGTTATGTTAGGTGCCGATGTTGCGTTGGATTAGGCCGAGTGGCCATATGGAACATAAATTTTCCTTTGTCACCTCCAAAGATTCCAAAGTAAATCATTTTCTCTTGCAGATATAATTTAGGCTTTGTTGAGGGGGAACACCCTACCACGTGGAAGGATGGGACTGGGGATGTCGTGCGTATGAGAGAGCACATTACTTGGTCACAGTAGGACAACCCATGCTCAAATTCGGCTCGACAACCTCTGAGACTCATAAGTCACATCCTCGGATCTCTTTAAATAGTAAAATCTCCCTCAAGAATAAGTATGTGACATCATCTCAGCCCAGCTTGACACCCCCTTCGATTTGAATACTAATTTAGGTATCAAAGTGCGTTGGGCACAACGCTTCATATTCAATACTCGCCATCTCAAATTCCACATCAACAAATCTGCTTGTGCCAGAAGCATGAATCAAATGCGGATTTTATGTGTGGGAATAGCAATTGATGCGCAAGTGTTTTACCTCGCTAATYCCCCTTCATGGATAACCAACCCCGAATCTCAAAACATTTGAGATAGCCCGAGCAGGAGGGATAGGAGAACAAGGATGTTCTTCCAAACCCTCCATGTATCACTAGGCAACTGCCCTTTAGGTTGAGGACAAAGATAAAGATTGAAGAAACAGCTCTAAAGAATGGCCTAAGACCAAGTAGGGACTAGTCAGTCGGAGGAAAGAATGGCCTAAGACCAAGTAGGGACTAGTCAGTCGGAAGAAGAGGCTGGACAGATCAACGATGGACTCTATGTAAGCCAAAACCCTGAGAAAGGGAAGGTACCTCAACCCACAACATTCAACGGCCGTTTGGATTTGGGGAATGGAGATGGGAATAAGGGTTAGAATGGGTAAGGGATTATGATACACTTGTTTGGTTCAAGGTTTGTAATATTGGCATGGGAATAAATTGTTCTCATGCATCATTTATTCCATAGACAATGTTGGAGGGTAAAATCTAACTTGTCACGTGGACCATGTTCAGACAAAGTACACATTCTAATCTATACCATAGGCTGACCTGAGCTTGAGAGAAACTAAGATAAATTTTGCAAAGACGTGTTTTCGAGCTTTGCTATTGCTAACGTGTGGCCCAACAACCCATAACCACCTAACTGCTTGTCGAACCCGTCTTTCCCCATCCTCCTATAAAAGGGCACCCACTCTTTTCAATCACGTATGCTATTTTGTCTGAGACCAACTCATTTAGTTCGAACCCAAAGTAGTTGAGCATCAAAGTGTTTCTTTTTTTGTAGGTCTTCCATTGCATAGCTCATTCAATCCTAGCACGTCCGGGTGATAGGTGACCAACCTTCGACACTTGGGCAGAATTCAGCATAAACATTTGGTGTCGTCCATAGAAAACGTAAGGTTTAATTAATTAATTTTAAAACTCTTTTTAAAAAAAAAATAATTAACCCTAAATATGCAATACTAAGCTTTAAATATAAATCATATAATTAAACTTATAGGTATGCATCAAATGACATTCATAAATATAACAATTATGTTTATTAAAAAAATGTCATGCTCAATGCAACTCATTTTTCCATTAATTAACCTAACAATTATATCAATTATAAGAAAAAAATACATTATGCTTCATATAATATAACACTTATATTAATACAATGCATGATCATGCTTTAACCTAGGGTGGTATTTTAATCTAAATGACATACTGTATGCATCATACATTTAATAAAACATACATTCATAACGCATAATAATTAAATAGCAAAGTTGGACCGAATTTTGGCATCCTAAGAAAGCAAAATTTAAAAAAAATAAAAAAATGCTTGAAACAACTCGAACTCGCAAACCGACGCCTTGGAACCACCAAGGAATGCGTTGAGACGCTACAAAGGATAGCGTTGAGACGTTCGTGACAGTGTCTCAACGCTACAACGCCTAATGCACGCACGCACGCTGGGGGCAGCGTTGGGACGTCAGTGACAGCATCTCAACGCTACGATGCCCCAGCACGATTTTTCCATATTATGAACARCGTTGAGACGTTGCTCCTCAGCGTCTCAACGCTCCGCCTCTGGTCTGCAACATTTTCTTAGAAAAACTACAGAAAAGTCACCCAAATCCGCTCCCACGAACGACAATCGACCAACACGAACTTACAGACTCGATAGCAAAACATTAAATGCCTAAGACAACAAGCCCTTACATGATCAAATCAAGTAAAAATACAATTCTAAATGCCAAAATCCAAAATTATCCAACATGCAAACGCACATTCATAATGCAGCGGAAAAAACCCACCAAATTATGTGTAAATTTCAACAAAAAATTTAGAACGAAAAACAAGAGTCTGATATGTTGGGTTTGGTGCCCTTAGCTTGTGTATTTGTAATTTATGAACAAATTGTTTGTTCAATAAAGAGTCAACACCATTAGTCAATAGATTGTCATCTCATAGGATGACTAGGTAATTCGATCTTAATCTTAAGCGAGTTATGGAATCCTAACTATAAGGGATCATCCTTTAATTTATGGGTGAGAGTAGCCTGGGTTGTCGACTCAATAATCTTACCATTTTGGGGACGAGACCAAATGGGGAGCTGGAAACATAACTACGCAAGATTAAATTCATTTATTCCCGACTTTAGAGAAGTAGATGAGTGTTTCCTTACATGCCGACTCTGGGACTTTAACAAGGGGCCCACTTTCTCACTGGCCCAAGAGGAACTTTCGATTATTTGTCGGACCATAACCTGTTTGATTATCCTATAAGATAACAATCTACTGACTAACGGTGTTAGAGCCAATGATTAATTATTTTGTGGTCCGGTCTTATACAAACTCATTGTATAAGATACCCCATTCGCATGTCTCTACATGAACGACCAAGTTAAAATCGTTTATAACTATTACAAAGCAGGTCGTATCTATAGTGTTACCAGGATAATGTACCCAATCTTATCCATGTACTATAGACCATTTAGGTTATTACTAAAACATTATTCACTTGTATATCAAATATATACTGTATATCAAATATATACTTTTCTAGTTACATTAAATAACCTTGGATCTTAGTTTATTAGAATATGAGTAATGCAAATAAATGATAAAATAACTTTTATTAATAATAAATAAAATGTTTACAAATTACAGAATCATGAGCTCAGGGCACTAAACTTAACAAAAACATCTTAAGACAAGCCAATTGCATACTGAGTAATGGTTGACGATTTCTAGGGTTCAAGCAACCGAAACTAGGGAGACCCGATCTTGCAACCTAACGACAACATTCTCCAAAGCCACTGCCCCCATGTAGACCTTTGAAGGGAGAAAAGCCCAAGGCAACTAGATCCAACACCTGTAGGACCCAGTCTACGCGCGTAGATCAATCCCAGTGACCGACATATAAGCACAGGTCGCTACGATGGAAATCTAGATGGAGGCGATGGTGCATGCATTGAAAAATGCAGGCATAACCATTTCTGAAGTGCTCGCCCCAGAGATCCCTCGTGATTCTAAGAAGGAAAAGGCTAAGGTGGATGAACTGCACCCTGAGAACCCAATTCATCACTCCATTAAAAAGAAATTGGTTCATAGCAAAAATGATAAGGTTCGACTTGAAAACAATTTGTGTACTGTCCTCTCAGCCCGTTCATCACTAAAATAAGGTCAAGACTTTTGCAACACACTAAACAAAAATAGAGCTATCACTGCCAAATAAAAGGAAGTTCGACTTGCATGATATGAGTCTGTAGGCAACATCGACCTGCAGTTGCAATTCGAGCCATTTAAGAAAGAGCTCAAGGCAAGATAAAAGAAGAATTTAAGGAATACATTAATAACAAAAAGACTTACAAGACAAATCATTCATCTGACAATGACAAACTTGAAGAGATGCCCTTCGTTCAAGAAGTCGTAAGTGTTCTTCTTCCTACAAAGGTCAAGTTGTGAACCTTTTGGCAAGTATGATGGGTCTACCAACCTAGTTAACCATGCTGAGACTTACAAGCTCCTTATGGGCTTTCATGCATATGCTGACGCACTTAAATGCCAAGCTTTCACCAGCACACTCCGAGGTTCAACTCGGCAATGGTACATGCAGTTACAACTAGCTTATTCTATATCCACTTGAAAGCAATTTAGAAAAGCTTTCATAACTCAGTTATCTACACATCACGATACCAAGTGCTCATCTACATACCTCCTCACCATCCAAGAAAGAAAGAAGGAGACTCTCCGTAAGTTTATCAGGAGATTTTTAACCGAGCAGATAAAGGTGACACACTGCTCAGAGGACATGACCTATACGACCTTCACTACAGGACTCTGAGACAAGAATTCAATTTAGTCTCTAGGTAAGAAATCTGAGACAACCTTCAAAAGAGTCTTAGAGCGAGCTAAAAAGTATATGGACACAGAGGACCTTCTCCACTTCAGAGATGCAAAGTACGAGAGGGTCGAGAAACACAACCCAACCCAGAGGTTAAAAGAGAGGAATGAAAACTCTTTGGGGGCGTTTGGCCTATAGGTTCGGCATTGGTAGCCTGGGTTTGTTAAACCTGGGGAGTTGATCTTGAGATGTTGTGTAGTCTGGATTTGGATAGCCTATGTTTAGGGTGCATGGTTGTGTAGCTTAGGTTTGGGTAGGCATATTTTTTTTAGCTTTTTTTTTCCTTTGTTTTTTTAGCAAAATGTTCAACCCCTGATATAATATAGTTAAACTTGTACGTAATTTTGTAGAATGCAATTAGTCCATCCTTTTTAAATTTTGTATTTCTTAACTTATATAATTTTTAACCATAATTTTCTTTATTCATGGATTGTCAAAATTAAAATTAAAATTCAATCAAATCGTTCACAATAATATGGAGCAAAATTTAATATTGATATCACAAAATATTTAATGACAAAACAAATTAGGAGGAAATAGAACAGATAAAGTAGTCCATGCATAATTACATCAAAAGTAAATTTCATCAAAACATTTTTAAAGCATGTTTGTAAAGTTAAATTTTTTAACCTTTTTTATTTTATCAAACTGAGAAATCTATTAATTATTAACTTTAAAATTTCAAGAATGTAGAGTAGAATGTAAGCTTTTATTTGAATATTAGTTATTTCCAAATATAATTGTTTTGTTACTTTACATAGGGATAAAATCAAATAATTTCTTTAACAGGAATAATTTAAAATGGAATACTATTTAATTTCATAAATTCAAAATACAATATCATTTACCCTTTTTAGTTTGAATATAGCTAATTTGAAAATAGATTATTTTCTATAGTTTTTATACGATAATTACAAATTAAATATATATTTTTTAATTTTAATATTATTAAGTTCATAGAAAAGCTAATATCTTATCTTAATTTGCATATTAAAAATTAAATATATACTTTTGAACTAGAATAAATGAAGAGTATAAATTTTTAAGAAAAAGATAATATTATTATTTATTGTAAAAAAATATATATTATAAGTAAGTAGGTACGAAAGTGGCAACGATAAATTTTTTTCTAAAGAAACAAAAATAAAAAACAAAAGACAAAATAAAATAAAATAATTTTGTGCTTATAAAAAAAAAGTGTAATCCATGTTAACTGATGGAAATATTTGGTTTAATATTTGTTATTCTATTATGTCATGGTTATACTGTATTTGTCTATAAATACTGATTGTAAAGTTATTTTATTTCCTTAATAAAGAGAGCAGTTTCACATTTGTGAAATATTATTTCATGGTATACTGTACTCGCGTCGCCTGATCCAACTTCCACGCACTTATTCTATTCATTCATGGCGGCACCTAACCCCAGGGATCTTAATTCCCCAATTTTCTTGCTATCCAACATCTGTAACCTTGTATCCATTCGTCTCGATGCCTCCAACTTCGTTCTTTGGAAGCTTCAACTCACTTCGATTCTCAAAGCACAGAAACTTTATGGCTTTGTTGATGGATCCACAGAAGCCTGATCAATTCTTGACTTCTTCTTTTTCAACAATTACTGATTCCGGTTCTACAATTACACAGACAATCAGTCCTGCGTTCGATGATTGGATAGCCAAGGATCACTCGTTGATGACTTTAATCAACGCTACGCTCTCCTCTGCCGCCTTAGCATATGTTGTTGGTTGCAAATCTTCACAACAAGTTTGGGAAACGTTGGTACAGCACTATTCTTCAAACTCTCATTCAAATGTGGTCAACCTAAAGTCCGATCTATAATCGATTCTCAAGAAATCTTCCGAATCGATTGATCAGTACATTCAACGAATTAAAGAACTTAAAGACAAATTGGCCAATGTCTCAGTTCTCGTGGATGATGAAGATCTGGTAATTTACACCTTGAATGGACTTCCGTCTGAGTTCAATACTTTTCGTACTTCAATGCGAACTCGCTCGCGACTGATATCGTTCGCCGAACTCCATGTTCTTCTCAATTCTGAGGTTGTTGCTATCGATAAACAGTCAAAGAGTGATGATTTGTTTGTACAACCTGCTGCTTTGGTTGTGAATTCTGGTTCAAACTCACAGGTACGAAATCAGAATTTGAATCCTAATTACACCAAAGGTCGAACTTCTAATGGCGGTAAGCCCAAATTTGCCGGTAATAATGGGTGAAATAAGGTGAATTTCAACCCTAATACTCGTAATGGTCGTAGAGGAAATTCTCCTTCCGGTTTCTCTCATCTACCTTTCGGTTTTCAACCTTTTCAAGCTTCTGGTGATTCCGCTGCCACCAGAATTCTCTGTCAGATCTGTTTCAAGGTTGGCCAAACTGCTATCGACTGCTATAACAGAATGAACTACAATTTTCAGGGTAGGCACCCTCCTGCTTAATTGGCAGCTATGGTTGTTGCTCAAAATCAGGCTTCTCTCTCTTCCACCACGTCATGGTTGGTTGATTATGGTTGCAATTCTCATGTCACAGCAGACTTGGGTAACTTTTCTTCTGCTGCGAGCTATGTTGGTGATGATCAAGTGGCTGTAGGAAGTGGTCAATCGTTACCGATTTCTCATTTAGGTTGTGGTACCCTCCAAACTCCTACTGCTTCCTTTTCTCTCCTTAATTTGTTACATGTTGCTCATATTTCCTCTAATCTACTTTCTGTCCATAGTTTATGTTCTGATAACAACTATATTATGGTCTTCGACTCTAATGCCTTCTTTGTTTAGGATAAATCTTTGGGACTGATTCTTTTTCACGGTCCTAGTATAAATGGCCTCTATCCCATCACCTCTGGTTCTTCACAATCAGGTGATATTTTTCCTGTAGCAAATATTTGGGCACGGACTACATCTTCTATTTGGCATGATCGATTAGGTCACCCTTGTGGTAGCATTCTTAATACTGTGCTTAGATCCATGAATATTTCTCCTTGTAATTCTGCAAAATGTGTTTGTACACACTACTTACATGGCAAAATGCATAAATTGCCATTTTCGTTGTCTTCTTCTATTGCTTCTTTTCCTCTTGATTTAGTACATAGTGATGTATGGGGCCCTGCTCCTCAAACTTCAATAAATGGTTTCAAATATTACGTATCCTTTGTTGATGATATGTCCAAATTCACTTGGCTTTACCCTATTATACGAAAATCTGATGTACCTTCTATTTTTCAACTTTTCAAACCATTAGTTGAAAATCTCCTCTTATCTAGAATCAAAATCTTTCGAAGTGATGGCGGTGGTGAGTTTGTCAATCACTCTCTTGGGTCTTATCTTCAAACACATGGTATTCTTCATCAAAAATCGTGTCTTTACACTCCTCAACAAAACGGTGTTGTTGAGCGTAAGCACTGCCATGTTGTTGAAGTTGCCCTGAATCTCATGTCCAAAGCCTTCCTTCCTATTCCGTTTTGGCCTTTTACTTTCAATACTGCTGTCTTTATTATAAATCGCTTACCATCCTCGTCTCTTGGAAATAAATCTCCCTTTAAACTTTTGTTTCACCGTTCCAATTATTCGTTTCTCAAGACCTTTGGGGGTGCATGTTATCCTTTGCTCAAACCATACATTTTAAATAAACTTCAACCCAAAACAACCCAATGTTCATTTCTTGGTTATTCTTCTGACTCCAAAGGATATATATACTATCACTTAGAAACCAAGTGTCTTTACATTTCCCGTCATGTAGCATTTGATGAATCCGTGTTCCCACTTGCTATTTCCTCTTCTGCTACTCATTCTGTTACTCCGTCTTCCTCTTCTCCTTCTACATCAAACAACTTTCCTTTGTCCATTCTTCTTTCATCCCCTGTACCTCTACTAAATGAAGTTCCTTTAAACGATTTGCCCACTTCTTCTGATACTTCTTCTTCATCAACATCTGTCCCAGTACCGTCCCAAGATTCAAATGTTGTGCATGATGTTGCTGAATCTGCTGGGGTAAATGAATCTGCTGGTTCCTTACCAATTGATGGTGTTGTTCCAAATTCTGATATACAACATTCTGTTCCATCATGTGATAACCCACCTGCTCCTCCTCTAGTTCAGAATGCTCGTTCTATGCAAACCAGAGGGAAGTCTGGGATTTTTAAAAGGAAGGTATTTGTTGCCCCTACCATCTCCTCTAGTCAGGTTGAGCCATTTTCCTTTTCCAAGGCTTCAAAGCTCCCTGTTTGTTTGGTGTGATGCTATGAATGAGGAGTATACTGCTTTAGTTAAACAAAATACTTGGGTTTTAACACCATTGCCTCAAGGTAAGAATGAAATTGGTTGCAAGTGGGTTTATCGAATTAAACACAATCCAGATGGTAGTGTAGCTTGATATAAAGCTCGTTTGGTTGCCAATGGGTATCATCAAGAGGAGGGTATTGATTTTGAAGAGACCTTCAGCCCAGTTGTTAAGAAGTCAATAGTTCGGGTTGTTCTCTCCTTGGCAGCTCAATTTAATTGGCCTCTCCGTCAACTTGATGTTAAGAATGTCTTTTTACATGGGGAATTACAGGAAGAGGTTTATATGCAACAACTCCAAGGTTTTGTAAGTTCTTCTCATCCTCATCATGTTTGTAAGCTGCTAAAGTCCTTATATGGTTTAAAGCAGGCTCCTCGTGCTTGGTTCAAATGTTTTACTAGTCATTTGCTTACACTTGGGTTTGTTGAATCTCATGCTGATTCTTCATTGTTTGTTCGTCGCTCTGCTGACTCTATTACCTACCTATTACTGTACGTTGATGACATAATTGTCACTGGTAGTAGTTCTCTTTATATTGAGACTCTTGTTGCTGAACTTCGACTTAGATTTGATATGACTGATCTTGGCTCTCTCAAGTATTTTTTGGGGTTGGAAATTACTTGCAGCCTCTCTGGATTTTTGTTTCTCATTGTAAATATGCAAAATATGTGTTAGCTCGTTTTGGTATGTTGACTGCAAAGCCTTGTGCTACACCTTCTGCTCTTATCATGCCATAGAATGCTAGTGATTCTTCTTGTTCTGCTACTGATGCTCAAAGTTTTCGAGCTATAATTGGGGCATTACACTACCTTACTTTCACCAGGCCTGATATTTCCTTTTCAGTAAGCAAACTATCTCAGTTCATGCATTCCCCTCTTCATTCTCATTTGATTGCTGCAAAACGAATACTTCGATATATTGTTGGTACTGTTGATGATGGTTTATGTTTAAAGAAAGGTTCGGCAAACTTCTTTCCCATTAATGCTTTTTCTGATTCGGATTGGGCCGGTGAGAGTCTTGATAGACGTTCAACTACTGGTTTTGTTATATTTCTAGGTCCAAATCCGATTTCTTGGGGCGCTAAGAAGCAATCTACCGTTTCCCGTAGCTCTACCAAGGCTGAGTATAGAGCTCTGGCTTCCACTGCCTCTGAGTTATTCTGGGTCCGACAGCTTCTTCGTGATCTTCAGCTTGTTGGTGTTACGCCACCTGTTTTGTGGTGTGACAATGCATCGGCTATACAACTTGCTAGGAATCCTATCTTCCATAGTCGTACGAAGCACGTGGAAATAGACTTTCATTTTATTCGGGAAAGAGTTGTGCGGAAAGATATCAGACTGCATTTTGTTTCCACTGAACTACAACTTGCTGACTTATTTACAAAACCACTTACTGCAGCTCGCCTTCTGTTTCTTCGGTCCAAACTCATGCCATCTGATCGTTCACTATCTTCTGCTGGCTTTCGTTTGAGGGGGATGTTAACTGATGGAAATATTTGGTTTAATATTTGTTATTCTGTTATGTTATGGTTATACTGCATTTGTCTATAAATACTGATTGTAAAGTTATTTTATTTCCTTAATGAAGATAGCAGTTTCACATTTGTGAAATATTATTTCAATCCATGGGGTTGTGGTTGGAAAACCATGGTTTCCAAACCCATATGCCAAACAGCCCTTTCATGTTGATTGCCAATGATCGACGTACCAAGAAGAAAACAACTCAACTTGAGAGGTTGAAGAACTACACGCCCTTCAACATCCCAATAGCTGAGATTTTGGCCAATATTAAGGACAGCAGGCTAGACCTTCCTTAAGGAACCAAATATATTGCACCAGAATCCAAGCAAACATGTCAAAACAAAATATTGTCGTTTTCGCAAGGACCATGGACATGATACCTTAGACTGCTACGTCGAAAAGGGCGAACGTGGAGCTTCCACATAAACCACCAAGGATGATAGGGAGAGGTCAAGGACCCCTTCCGAGACATGGAGATGGTGTTGGGTGTGTTGCTCTAAACTCGTAGTTTGTAATTATGTAAAAACAAATTTATATTAAATAAAGTTTTGTTTTTCTCATTCAACAAATTTGTGGTTGAATTTACAACATTACATTGTCCAAATCTAATAAACTAAACATCCAAGGTTATTATCATGTAACTGGGACAGTATATATATATATATTGGGTATAAATTTGATATATCCTTGATATACATAGGGATGACAACAAGGCGGGGCAGGGCCAGGGGGTCATTCCCATCCTCGCCCCGTTGGAGATTTTTTCCCCATCCCCGCCCCCGCCCCCGTCCCCGTTATAAATATATATTTTTAAATTTTAAATTTTTTAATTAATTTTTGTTATTATTAGTATAAAAAGTGAACAAAAAATGGCTAAATGAGGGTATTAGCTTGAGTTTTTTTTTAAATTAAAAAGTATTTATAAAATTAATATATGTTAGTATTATTATATAAAAAATAGAAAAAGTAATAAAAAATTAAACGGGGTAGGGTCGGGGACGGGGACGAGGCGAGGGGACCGATCCCCGTCCCCGTCGGGTAACCCGATTGGGATCCCCGGTTTGATCGGGGACGGGGTCAAACTGGGGAATCCCCGACCCGATAGGGTCGGATACCCGCGGAGATCGGATCTCACGGGTATTTTTGCCATCCCTAGATATACAAGTGGATAATGTCCCGGGAATAACCTAAAGGGTATATAGTATATGGATAAGACTAGGTACCTTATCCTGACAACACTATGGATACGACTCACTTTGTAAATGTTACAAACGACCCGATTCAGGACGTTCGTGTGGAGACATGTGAATGAGGGTATCCTATACAATGAGTTTGTATAAAACCCGATCGCGAAAGAGCCAATCTTTAAATGTAACACCGTTGACTAATAGATTGTTATTTCATAGGATGACCAAACAACTCATTACCAATCCTGAGTGAGTTATGGACTCTTGCCCGTGAGGGCTCATTCTTTGATCTGTACAGGTGAGAGTGGCCCGAGTCATCGACTCAACATTCCTACCATTTTGGGGATGAGTCCAAGTGGGGAGCTGGGAACATAATTTCACAAGATGAAATTCACTCCTCCCCGACTTTCGGGGAGTAGATGAATGTTCTCGTAAATGCTGATTCCGGGACTTGAA